TGTCAGGGCCTGTCAGGCCGCAGGGCAAGGCGGGCGTTGGGCGGGGAGGAGAGGGAACCCGCTCTCCGCACACAGCAGCTCTGTGGCAGATCCCTCTGTGCCAGGTTTGGAGTCTGTACCCAGGCAGGCCGGAGGGTTAAAGGTGTCCCCAGGCCATCACTCATACCCACGAGGCCCCGGACTCCGCTCTTTGCACTTGACAATCCTTAATGCATCTTGTCCACACCTGGGGTGTCCGGGGGCAGGCATGGAGGTGCAGCTGCTTGTCATGTGTCTCTGCCCACAAAATACATACAGGCACAAAGGAATGTAGCGTGCGTTTTGGGACTTTATCAGGATGATTACTGCCTTAGTGTGAGAAAGGGCCTGCATTAATTACTCAGTGGAGGGTGCGCCTTTGAACATTTTTACTGATTGTTTTTCCTAGACCAAAGGTACACTAGATTTTTTGCTGACAGTAAATGTCAACAGAAGGAGAGGGGGCTGGAATACATCAGAAAACTGATCATCTTCAGTAAAGATACTAAATAAAGATCTAGACATTTCAATGGGCAGCAATATTATCACATTAATGTTATCATTTAATGCATAGAAATTTGGGGGAACGATGTAAGCCATGCTCTTGATGTCTAGTGCCTAAAGGGAGCATTAGGATAAACAGGGATCTTTCTTCCTCTCTCAGTCCCCCATTAACCCAAAAATGGGGGGAGCTGCACCTTTCTTTGAGATGTGGGAAGGAAGGATGGATGGTTGCAAACAGCCTGTGTTTACTTTAGTCGGTATAACATGGTTGCTACATTCATTTGGATTTGACCCCAACTTGCTCTTCTGTAAAAATGTTTATTTAAACAGATCTGTTTAAAAACATTTAAAAACACTGCTTTTTGAATGCTAGGGTGAAAAAGATGCAAAACCCTTTTTGAAGACTGTTTGAGATCTGTTTATGGAAAAAGGCACTTGAAGCAGGGCAGCGGGGCTGAAGAGTACAGTGGCTGAGAGGAGGCGGTGGCAGGGGGTCTGTGCAGAGGTCAGTGAGGAAAAACTGCGAAGCAGCTGCTAGAAGAGGATGTTTTTCAAAACGATGTTGATCGCTGCTCTCTGTTGCTTTTTATTTTCTTCTCGTTATGCTTTTAGTAAACAATGGAGTCAGACATAAAAGTGAATGAACATTTTAAAAGCCAGTTTAAGGCTTATCAAGAACAACAGCAAAGGCGGCTGCAAAATCTAATGGAGAGGAAGAAGGAAAAGAAGAACAGTCAGAAGAGTGATAATGGCAATACAAAGGAGACTTTCAGAATCCCAAATGATCTAAACCTGTTTGAAACAGGACAACCTGTAGATGAAGATGACAGCAAAAGGTAAAGGTGTAGCAGTACCGTTCCTTCAGGAAGTCAAAGAAGTGTATTTTACATATGATCTTATGAAATTCATATTAAGTTGACAGAGCACTTTCTGTCTTCATATATTGGGCTTTCATTATCCTGAGAAGACTCTTGCTGTCCCTAATGTGTTTATCCTCAGAGGATTGTGATGTACTCTTTATTATCAGTGTTTCACAAATGAAGAGCAGAAGGACAGAGGGGTTAAGGATGACATGCTAGGGGCAGCTAGGTACTATCTGACAAAACGCAGTCATTCAGGGTCACTAACATCCTCTGAACTGTTGGTTAGTTCCTGCCTAGTGTTGTAAACAAACAGGTGCCCTAGAATAATTTCGAAAAACAGGTAAGGGCAAAGCAACTAATGGGTGCAAGCCAAAGGCCTGTAGCGCAGAAAAGTGTTCCCCTGGCTGTCTTTGCAATATAACCAGATTTAGTAGATCAAAAGACAGCCACCTGTATAGGAGGGTCTCCTAAATGGAGTTGCCTCCTGGTTAAAATATTTGACAGGGTTATACAAGGTAGGGTTTCAAATCTTACTGGGGCAGGGGTTTGGGTCTTACCTCATCCAGTGGGGTAGTATCTGGAGTACCAGGACATTGGCCATCCTGGTGTGGATCTACCTTGATCTTGTTTTTGGAGCTGAGCGCATTATTCCATTTACTGGAGCAGAGATCTGAAACTCCAGCTCAGATCATTCATCTTCCTCCTAGAATATAGTCAGTCTTCTTTCTGACCTAATTAATATTTTTTTACAAACTAGAACAGGTCTGAAGTTGGACACATCCCAAAGATATCTGCAAGTTACCACAGTGTTGGCTACTCAGGGATCTGCTTCATGTTAGTGGTGAAGCCAGCTGAAGAAATTCCTGCTTCTGCTCCCCAGCTGTTTGCTAGAAACTGGATTCACTTTCTGGGACAAGGGTACTTTTACCTCAAGTCATTCCAGTGACCCAGTTTAAAGCTTAAGCCCACAGACTGTTTTATTGGGATCATGGTGATGTACTGTGATACAGGGGCAGGAAGGAGAAGCTGCCAAAACCATTAGATCATGGGTGAAAAACCACAGTTAATCATATACCTTTGAGACAGTTTCCCTTCCCAGATTCTGGGGTGGGGAAGGGCACCTCTAAAAAGTTTATCAAGCTGGTAACCAAGGTTTATTAGGCCCTAAATGCTGATCTTCCCTCTGTGTTACTCTGGGCAACTCCCTGCTCAGCTTGTTTCTGAAGATTGCTTCCTTAAATACCCAGGTGCATAAGCTCCAGCAGAGCTTTTGTGTAGATGCACAAAAAGAACCCAGGATTGAACCACTGAAACTTTCAGGTGCTTCTGGAGAATGTGGTGTTCATGCTGCAAAGGAAGTCTGTGTAGAAACAGGGAGCTGACCTTCTAGAAACTAATGTTCTCACTATTGCATCATACATTGTCTTCTTCACATGGCTGTCTGATTTGCCAGTGTATTCTGATCTGACCTCTACCAACTGTCCTCTTCCCTTCAACATTTTGTTCTGGTAGTGTATAGAAGATTACTATGGATATCTGATTTTTTTCATTTTTTTTTAATGGAGGGTGAGACTGATTCCCATAGTTCAGATGTGGATTTGTCTGCTGGAGGAGAGTGCTTAGGCGCTCCCGTAGCACATCCTGGTGCAGTGTGTATGCTCTGAGGTGCAGAGTACAGAAGTCATCCCAGCAATTCTTTGCTATATATGGTTCAGTAGTTTCAGTCTGAGTAATTCAAGAGCTATTACTTACCTCTGTTTTCAGTGGCACTGACTGTTAAAAGTCCCCATTTGACATGGCAGGTGTAGCAGATTTATCTGGATTATCCTTTGCTTCTGTACATCTGTGTTCAGAAAAAGAGTGATTATAAGTGTATCAAATCGGGGCAGGATTTGCTTCTGGAAGGGATTCATCAGGATGTACTTTGCAGTATTCCCATGACAACACGTTAGAAACTTGTTCCAGAGTAACAGGACTCCATATGGTCTGCAGTGTCAGTGATTTCAGCACATCAGTGTTGTTTATAGCAGCACTTGGAAAATGTTCTCCTCTCAGAAGTCTCCCTTCCTCTGAGGCTTGGGAGGTTGTTTTTCCTTCCTCTCCTCCTACTCCCAAATTTTGTTTAGGCGAGTGTTCAGCTGACGTTTTTGTCTTTCTGTTTTGTTCCTTCTGTAACTTTATCCCCCGTGCTCTCTTTGGTGTATTTAAGATTAAGTGATTCTCCCCATCACATGGAGAATCTGTAACAGAGCTGGGAAAGACACCTAGCTGAATTTGAGTCGTAGGCCCTGCTCATAAGCTCTGCCTGGCTCTGTTTTCTTGAACTAGAGTGAAAAGAGTTACCTTTCTGCAGCCTGTTTCTTTTGGCTGACTTTCTGTAGCTGAGCCACTTGGGTGGAATATGCTACCTTCTTTGTAACATGTAGAGCCACTCTGGGATGGGATGGAGAAGTTTCTCAGAGGAGACTCCAGCTCTGTGCAGTTGGATTTTCTGTCCATTCTACTGTAAGTGCTTTTTCTCAAGACTTGGAAGCCAGCTCTGAGGAAGACATTGTTGATCAGGTGTGTTAAGAGCTTAGAACCTTTTTTTCATGTTAGTCCCCTGATAAAAATCTTTTTGTCCACATGTCTCTAATTAGATCTGCGCAGTTTTGTTGCTCACTTCTATGAGTGGTACATATGGGAATAACTTAGTGTTGCCTTTTCTGTGCTCAGATTGCTGCTTTCTTTCTTCTCCTTTGTAAACAGCTGCCTTTGATCTCCCTTTGATTTGCAGCTTTGAAACAGAAGAGCATTTGTTAATTATGGATTGTGAATTGCCTCATAAATTGACTGTGCTGTTTATGGCAGTGCTTTAAGGGATCATTTATTCTGACATGTACATATGGAGCGTGCATTTAAAAGCTCTAAAGTCCAGTTGGAGCAAAATGATTGCTAAAACTTTTGAACAGAAAAGATTGAGGTCACTATTGAGATAGCTGACTTGTCTGGCTGTGGATGTGTCTATAGCCACAGATATATACTGTAACAACTGGGCTTTATCCAAATCTCTGTGATCATCCAAGCTACCTACTTCTGTTGTCTGGAGCAGTCAGTCTGTAGGCCAAAGCGGTGGGACACTATGCCAGATTAAGTCACCAAAATGTAGACATTCAGACTGTAGATAATGAGAATCTAGGGCTCAGTTCATGTGGCTGGCATAGGTGTCTAGGGACATCTGAGATGCCTTAGGGTATCAGGAACGTCCGTATGGGAATGATAGACAGGACACAGGAGACTTGCACCCTTCAACAGCAGCATCTGGGGAACAGGTGGGCAGCTCAAATGGCACCTGTGTGTGGGTGACTGAATTGAGTCCCCTCACTTAGTGACAGAGAGCGATTCAGGTCACCCTACAGTGGCAGCTACTCTGTATGCAGCGCTGGTTGTATTGACTAGACCTCCTGTGACTTTTGTGTGCTTTTAGCTTGCTGCTGACAGAGAGACACTTGTATTTTGTAGGGAGTGGGACCCCACCCTGAAACTCGGATGGGGGGAGATGAGGAAACTCAGGTGGGGAGAGAGAAGAAACTCAGAGGCAGGCAGAATGGGAACCGCTGCCTTGAGCCAGCAGGCTCTTTACCACAAACATATTCACAGAAGGGGGTGTCTGTGCGGCTTCTCTTAGGACATTTGGTTCCCTCTCTGGGAAACGGAGACAGGTTAATTTCTGTTCTGAAATGCTGCTGTCTGAAGGAGTCTGGCTAAAAATTATGTCTGAAGTTGGAGGATGTCAGCACTTCTTGGGGTTAGCTTGTATGTCCACACATGGGTGTCAAGTGCTCTCTGAGATGCTCTCGATTCTCTGACTGGGCCCAGAAGTTTTCCCAAGAACCCTACGTTGTGGCTGTAGGAGCTCAGATGACCCTGGAACATCTCAAATAGATGCCTACGTGCCTGTGCTGGTTTTGGCTGGGATAGAATTAATTTTCTGCACAGTAGCTATTATGTAGCTGTGGTTTGGATTTGCACTGAAAACGGTGTTGATAACACAGGGACGTTTTCCTTATTGCTGAGCAGTGCTGACACACAGTCAAGGCCTTTTGTGCTCCTCACACCACCCCACCAGCAAGGAGGCTGGGGGTACATGGGAAGCGGGGAGGGGACACAGCCGGGACAGCTGACCCCAACTGACCAAAGAGATGTTCCATACCGTACAACGTCATGCTCAGCGTATAAAGCTGGGGGAAGAAGAAGGAAGGGGGGAACGGTCGGAATTATGGAAATTGTCTTCCAAGTCACCGTTACGTGTGACGGAGCCCTGCTCTCCTGGAGATGGCTGAACCCCTGCCTGCCCATGGGGAGTGGGGAATGAATTCTTTGTTTTGATTTGCTTGCGTGTGCAGCTTTTGCTTTCCCTGTTAAACCGTCTTTATGTCAACCCACGAGTTCTGTCCCACCATGAGGGAGTGAGCGAGTGGCTGCGTGGGGCTTAGTTGCCAGCTGGGGTTAAACCATGACAGTCCTCACAATTGAATTGAGCCCCCAAGGCCTTAGCTTCTAGATTTTACATTTGGAGGAACCATCATTTAAAGAGATTAAAGTTATTAATTCTCTGGATGTCTTAGAGAGATGAAACCCTTAAATGTTACTAAATGTACTGAAGAATAGGAGAAGCAAGGCTATTTCCTGCCATTTAGAGGGCTTTTTTTGATTTCTTTGTTTCTAAATGAATTCCAAAAAGCAACGTTAAAAATACAAACTGATGCCAGTCCATCCTGGTGGGGTTCCAAGAAAACCATATGAGGATACAGGAAACTGCTCTTTTGTGAATTGCTATGAAGCATTCATTTTTAAAGAAAGAACCTCAGTAGCAGCTTTTGTAGTTTATGTTCTGTTGGCTTCTGTTGGCTTTGGTAAGTATAGAAAGTAAAGCCTGAAAGTCAGGGATGCTGAATGGTGAGCCTGCCTGGTTTCCTCTGAAGAACCATATAAGGAAAAATGAGTGAGATGAGTGAGACTATTCAGTAACCTCAGGAGCCCTGAAAAGATATCTGTTCTGTGACATTTTGCCCCAGACAGCACAAGGAAGTGCAAAAGTTTTTAAGAAGAGAGAAGTTAACTGAATAGATCAGATCATCAGCTTGTGTTTTGATCTGAGGTTTGGGATATTCTACTTAATTCGGTAAACTGTTCCTGGTAAGCTCAGTTTATCCAGCATACAGTCATTCCATTATTTTATTTCTGGGAGCATCTATGTGAAGCACATTACAGTGACCTTTGCCATTATGTTGGGCTTTTTTTTCCACAGGTTGCTTGAGATTGAGAACGAGCAGCTCCAAGATCAGCTTCGAGAGGTCCGAGATGAGAACTGCAGACTATACAAACTGGTGACAGAGAAAGATTTTGAAATAAAACAACTCCAGAAAAAAATACAGGAGGACAGATTGGCTTTGTCAGGTAAACACAGTAACTTTGTATTCTCACTACGTTAGTTCCAGTGTTTGCTTGATGCTGATGACAATAGAGGTGGGATAACAGATTAATTGTGAGCTCCTGGCAGTGAAATATTCATTTGACATCTCTTCACCTACTTTGTGCTAAAAAGGAGTATTTCAGTCACATTGTGGTTGCCTCCGTTTCCACTCCTGTAATAAGCTTCTGCTAGGAAGAACCAAAATTCAGCTCTGAACTGAGAGAGACTTGTTCTCTGTCGAGCTTGCAGTAATTTGCAATAGCACTGAAACCACTTGACTCTGAACTTCGAAAATACTTAGACACCTAGGTATAGATTTAGACAACACTTAGAGTTGCTACCTAAACTTGCAGGGGTCTAAGCTGATGCTGTTTTGCATTTGCAGAGTTTACTAAACATCAATGTTTCTCCCATGCAAAGAGTATCATTGGTTTATTTGCAGAGGGAAGCTCCTTGCAATGGTTTGACATGATAGCACTTACACGTGGAATGCTTAAAGATCTGTGCCTTACTCTGTCCGTCCATTTCATGAGCTGCAAAATGACTACTACTAGAGAGCTATTGAAAGGACAAAATGAATTCTGAGGTAGTCAGGTCAGACCTAAGGCGCAAAATATTGTTATTAGTAATTATATGTCCCTTAATATAAGTATACTGCTCTTTCGGGGTACACAGTGTTCCTGTTCCTCACAGATCTTCTGCAAACTTGCTATTATTGGCACAAAAAATGATGGCTCATAGAAATCATATTTTGGAAAACTTAGTGTCAAAGAGCAGTGTTGCAGCCTTCTCTGCTATGTAGTGTTAAATCCCTTATTGAGGTTCCTTTTGTTTGACTGAATAGGGCACATGTAGGATGCTGGCTGAATGCAAAGTCCAGCTTCTGAAGTGGCTTGGGTGTCCTGTGAAAACTGAACTGTGCAGGTTGCACCTCCTCCACTGGGTGCCACTGTTGTTCAGGACAGCAGTGATGACCAGGCTAGTAGAGAAAGGGGGAAACCAGCAATAAACAGAACTAAATAACACTTAAATTACACCTTCATTCTTAAAAGCGATCTGTAGCTTGTATGTAGGAAAAATGATAAGCTATTATTGGGTGAGGACTAGGAGGCAGATGTGCTGTTGCCACTTCTTTGGCTGACTCATGCCAGCTTGTGGCAGTTTGCTCCATGCCTCTGTGTTCCCTATCTATGTTGTGGCAAGAGACTCAGCCCCATTGCATGGGAATTAAAAGCTTTGATTGGATGTGTGCAATGCATTTGAAGACCATCACATGGAAGCACCAGCCTGGCTTCTGGTTAGTTTAGTACTTACTGTGATCCTTAGCAGCCATTATTTATTATGAAAACTAAGGAAAAAAATAGCTTCTAGGTGAGAGGGGAAACACACGTTGGATAAAGGAGTAGGAACAGTGGAAACAATCAATTTATTCTTTTCTCTGCAACGTTTTTAAATAGTGACATGGGGTCATATTCTGTTCTCACCTGTATTCTGCATAGCCTCTTTAATGTCTCTAGGGATTTTATGGGAGTCAGAATTCACTTAAGAGTGATCTGTCATCCTTGCACCTCACCCTGGTTCTTGAATATAATCTTCATGGATGTCAGTAGAAAAGTCATTACTTCAGAGCACTGGAGGGGGATGAAAGAGTTAAGAAGAATGACAACAGCTGAGTTCAATCTTTATATATCCAACCAAGGATTTGTTATTGCAGGCTCATATTCATGACTGAAATAGAGGTTTCCGTGGACATTGCATGCAATCATACTGATTTTGCACTTGTGCGTGAACTTTTCTTCACCTATGTGATGTAGATGAAAGCCAAGTGACACACAAGCCAGTCCTGGGGATTACTTTATTCATGACACTAATCAAACCCTCTCTGATGAGGAGGTGAATGAAGTATCTGTTTAAAAGAGCAATTAAAAGAGTAATACAGTAAAGCTCCATCTATAATTTCAAGGGACATATAAATAGGCACAATGAAATTTCCTGGACGTTATCCAGGACCCAACTGTAATAGTGTGCTTGACCTTTTAGGACAGATGTCTAGAAAAGTTCGCACCTCTGTTTCAGCAAGTCCTCCAGTAGTAAACAACCAGTGCAAAATAGTGTTGGGTTTTTTTCTGTAATATGCCACACTAACCTGTTCATAACAGTCCTTCACAGTGGTAAGCAGAAAACACCTCTACCCTTTCTCTGTAGTAATGTTGTTATGAGCACTGTTGTGGCCTTCTGACATGTGGCGGTTGCTGAAGTGTGAAATGTGGCTTTGCTAGCCACAATGTGATGCTGACTCAAAGGACCAAGCAGTCCAGCTGGAATCACTGACGCCTCTTTTCCCTCACTTGTTCATTTAAGTGCCTGGCACAGCTCTGAGAGAAATGGATTAGACAATAAAAGTACGCTGTGCATTGAACAGAGAACAAAAGGATCAACTATTCTGAATCTTGCTTGTAAGATATGTCCTTTGCTTTTATGTATACTTTTCAGGGGTGTCTGGTTTAGCTGGAGATGTTGCAGCTACTAAAATAGTTGAATTAGCCAAAAAGAATCGTGAGATAACTGCTGAGACTGAGAGTGAAAAAGCCAAAGTGAAGCAACTGAATAACAAAGTCAAAGAGCTGGAGAAAGAAGTGAGGCATATTTTCTTGTTCTCTTTTTGCATGCTAAAACATAGAAGTCCTGCTTTTGGGATAGAGGAGCTGTAGAAACTGGGTTTAATTATGTTTCCCTTTTGAATTTGCTCTTGCATATATGCTTGCTTTGAGTTCTTGTAATTTCTGTCCATGCTAGGAGAGAGGGATGTGTGCCCTCGGCTGTTTCCACCTTTACAGAAAGGAGGAGCTAGGGAAGGATATCTGTAAGTTATAATGAGCGAAAGATTTATTAAATACCAGTTAGGAATGTTCAGTTGTATTTGAAGCACAGAGGCTTTTCCAGCAGTATGGCAATGATGTTTTTATCTTTTTTTTTTTCTCTCGTGTGAGGAGGAGCAAATTTCATACCATTATGTCTTACATTCCCACCTCGTTAATACCAGTCATAAGTTAGTACTCTATTCTTCTAAGCTTTATTTATCCACATAATGAAAGCTGTTTTCTGCCATAAGTACTTCCAGAACTGAGACAGTAACAAACTATATCACTTAAGACAGCAAGTTTTCACTCAGTCAAATTTATTTTTGTGATTTAGTACGACTTTTTTATATGTACTAACCTTTCACAGGAATAATTTTACTTGGGTGACTGCTGAAATGACAATTAGATGCCCTGATGTCAATGATTACTTTGTTCATTGGCTACAACTGCACTCCCTTACACAATACTGGTGAATTTTTGGATAATTTTTAATGCTTTGCTTCCTTAGAAGACATCATTTAAATGGATCAATAACATCTCTAATGCTGACAAATGCATTTTTAGTCCATCTTTCACGATCTCTTATTATCATGAATCATGCATCATTTTCAGTTATCTGAAAGATCAACAAATAGTAGGTTAAATTTTTGAGAACTCCTGCATAAATTCAGAGTGATCTGGTCAGAGGGATCTTGTCAAACAGTTGGCAGGCTGGTTAAGAAATATCAGGTGCAGCTGAGGACCTACAAAATCAAACAAGTAGGAGAGCAAGCCATGAATAATTTCAAGAAAAATCAACATGGTTCTAATCCCCTACTGCAGAAGTGTAATCACCGTTATTCAAACAGAGACTTGAAATATTGTCAGACATTGACCCAAAAGAAAGGACCATAGACATTTCAGGAAAGGAAATCAAACTCAAAGCAAACAGAAATTTTCAAGAAATAATAATTGCTGGTCAAAGCAGAGATGGACACTTTAGGTATGAACTAATCTGTCCTTAGACACCAACACCATCAAAACCAGAACCGAACATAGCAACCTGTCTCATCTGAGGTAAAGATGAACCACAGTCTAAATCCCACTGAGACCATGCCCTGGTCAACGGTCTGTATTTTCTCACAACCTCATTTGGGGTGGCTCTTCTCTAAACTAATGGTCACTAGCTGAGTTTGTGGATTGTAGTTGTTCAGTAGAACTATATGAAGATGTAAAATATGGGTAAAATTAAAGCAATGTTTGACAGTGGGAGGTATCTGAAGAATGTTGAGTGATGAAAGAGAAGAGCTGTCACCAACAGGAACCTGCAGTCATTCACACCACTTTAGGATCTCTGAATCTAAGCTGGATCACTGTCTAGACACACTAATCTTTTTCCATTGTTTGTAGAAGGAACCAAGAGAACTAAAGTCTAACTTGGTTGCCCATGCATAAATGTAAAAGTACAATCTGAGGTGCCATTTAACCTCTCAGACATCCCTGCAGGGCTGTTAGATATGACAGGACTGGCAGTCCTGGTGCAGGAGCTGAAGGCCTGCTGGGTACCCTTGGATGCCTCAAATGGGTCTAGACAGCTGTGGGTGGGCAAGAAAGCCGAATCCATAGTCAGTGCATCCACTTGATGTAATGTAGGTGTCTACTGTAGGGTGGGCTGAAGACTAGGCTTCCCTGATTGTACTGACTAGACACCATTCTTTGTAGAGACACCCCCCCCCGCCGAAAACAAGGGATGACTTTATTTTTGAGTTGAATTTTATCCCCTATGCCTACTTCTAGATGCCTTAAACTCTGCAAAATTAATTGTGGCAACAGTACCTTACAAATGCATCACAATATGTACTTTCACCAGTGGAAAACACTGTTATTTTACATAATTGTTAGCTCTTTGCTTGTATGAAAACTAAAAAATACATAAATAGTAATTATTTTAATGTGACTGTGTTCCCACAAACAAAACGGAAGGTGTGGCCGTTGAGCAATCACTTAGCAAAGGGTGGTATGTGTAAACAAAGACTACAAATGGATGTTTGCAGAATATTTCCTTAGAATTTGACCTAGCAGCTGTCAATTCAGCTGACCTAGCTGAAATTTCTCATTCTCAGTCCATTGGCTAAAAGACTTTATGAGCTGGATAGAAGGGGTCGCCTAACCATTGATTTACTTGCAAAGAAGGGGTGACATTAGAGCTGGCTCCAAGTTACACTGTGTTTCCTCAGATAGCACTTTAATGAAGAAGCTATTTCTTAGAGCCTTCTTTTATTTAGGCAAATTATCAAAAATTTCTGTCCACCTCAAAGAATGAAGTCTCAGCCCTTTAAAGCAACACTTTCTGGCCTTTCCAGCTCCAAATTCACTGCCCTCCTGCCCAGTAAGAGGTTTTTGCAACCTCAGCATAGGACATCATTCAGAGCAGAAGGGGCTATATATCTGCCTGCCTTTGCTGTGGCAAGCAATAGCAGACATATTCTTCATGAGTTGAGAAACGCTACCTTAAAGCTACCAGCTAAAGAAAGAGAGCCTTGATACCATTACTAAACCTCAGCTATAGGGTATTAGGTAGTAATTTCTCCTTTTAAATTCCTCTGGTGAGTAAACTATGTGCTTTCTATGAAATATACTGCGTTATTCTTGAAAAGTGGGTAAACTGACATCCAGAATCTAGAGACAACATCCTGATCTGTACTGGATTGGCATTTATGTATATAAACACTTATTTTATGAAATTATGATGATAAAATCCCCCAGAAGTCTCCATACTTGATAATTGATCCCATCTCAGCAAGTCAGATGTTTTCACTGAAGTTATTCCACAGTAAAATAACATATGCTTCTTTGGGAAGTATTTCAGGAAAAAATTGTATGCTTTCCTACTGATTAGTTTAAAAAGCAAGGGAAAATTAAGTAATTTTTTTTCTAGAGTAAATAAACATTGATGTAGTACTTTTTTGCTAATTAATATTACATGAAGGCATGCTCTTCACTGTACTCATTCTATAATAACAATGCTTTTTTTTCCAGCTACAGAGAGCCATAGAAAAAATAAATTCTCTTGGTGGTGGTGATGCAGGAATCAAGCAATCAACTCTGAAGATGGTAGAAGGAAACTTGGTACGCATTGTAATTGAAGAGAGGAAATCAGAAGCTGATACTTAATTCTCTCCTATTGTGCAGTCCTTTCCTTGTGACAAGGATGTATCCCTGTCACTAGTTTTGTGACCAAACTGCTCTGTTTGTATCTTCACTATGATCACAAAAATTAGGAAAGGCATTTGCATGGGACTGGGAAAAAAAGGGTTCTGTGATCCTGATGGATCTCTGGGTCTTAATCACTTCAGTTTTTCCCTGAGGATTCTGTTCTTGTTGAGTATATTCTTCTCTTCGAAGGCTGAAAGTCCAGAGGTGAAAGCATTGCAAGAAAAATTAACCACAGCCAACTTTAAAGTGATGGAGTACCGTAACCAACTCCAATCTGCAAAACAGGAATTGAAGATGACCCAAAAGGTACTGTTGCAGGACACAGTCTTTGGCTGGCAGAGGCTTCTTTTCTTTTGAGCTTTGATTAGCCTCCATGAAGTATTCCAGTGAACTGTAAGGAAGTAAGAAAAGACATGGACGTGGTGGTTTCATGCTCTGCCACCGCAGATGGATGACTGTGTCCATTATTTCTATTGCTATGATGGGTACAGATTCTTTAAGGTTTGAAAGTCCCTGTTCAGCAAAAGAGGTTTGTGACTGACTTGAAGCATACATTCAGGCCCATTCCTCCTTTCCAAAACATTTAATTATGTATTTACTTTTAATACAAGCTTCAGTCCCATGGAAGTCAATGGGATTAAAGACCATTCTTGAACTAAAGCACATATTTAAACAATTTGTTGGAGTGACATCCAGAGTAACCTTTTCCTCTTTGATTCATGATGGATTTTAATGCGTTACTATATGTTCTGTTTCCTTTGGTTTCATTACTTTACGTAAGAGACCTGCAATGCAGATCAGAGTAGAGAATATGGTCCTAAAAATAGAACTCTGCTGACCTTTTTATAAATAATTTAAATGCTCTTCATACTAACTTTAGCTCTTGTTAATGTGGCTGTGTCGAAATTGTGCAAGAGAGATTGGCTCAATTCCTGATTGTAAGGGTGTGTATTAAGACAATATCTCTACTCTGTTCCTGTCTAGCTCTGGTTAAGTATTCATTATAGCAAAAATAATTGTGTATATCGAAAACTGTTAGTAATGCTTACTGAACCTTGGTGATGGATTTAAAGGCCTCTTTTTACAGAAGTAGCACAGTTTGACACCCAGCTATACAGCTAGATAGTACAATTTGACACTCTCCATAGGCAGGCAGCAAAACATATTCACATTTTTAAAAAAGCAAAGAATATTACTCAAACATCAAAATACTGAATTACACACCTCACAAAGTGAAATAATTCATGTTAGCCAAACCCCTCCTAAGCACCAGCACTCCATATTGTGATAATGATCTGAAAGAGCTTATATCAGCCGGGATACTGGATATCAGATACAGGTGATAAAGATCACTGTGTATCAATACAGTGGTTTGTGTTTACTGCTAGAGAGAGCAGCTTTTCCTCCCCTCTCCTCAACACATGTATTTCAGCCTAGCCTTATTGTTGATGTTAATCCCTTTTTCTTAGCTTTTAGCAAATGAAGTCGGTGAAGATGTGAATATTCAAAGTCTCTTGACCAATTCTGGCAGCTGGCGTGGGCGAGCCCAGCAAATTCTTGTTCTCCAAAGCAAGGTGAGGTAAGACCCTGCATAATGCCACGTAAGCTCGGTGCTGGAGTGCTCTTTCTAAACATAGATATTGCCTCAGCTTAAGGTAAAGATACTGTTAGTTCATCATTAAGTAATTCTTAGCATCTATACCTGCCTATAAGGTGTGTCCCAGTGCAATGTTTACTGCAAATACATACCTAGTCTTCCTCTGTGTTGAGGAAAGCAACTGTTAGAATAAAACACTTTATGATAACTTTTATCATACTTTTTGGTACGTTTCTGTTCATGTGTGTGTGTGTGTGCACACGTACGTGTATGGTGGTGCTATGTTAAATTTTAATTAAGTTTTGATGTGTGCAGGGTCTTTCAGAGACCTGCAAACTATATTCAGTAGTCTATTGCAAACATGCAAGTTTCAGTATTTAAGCTAGCAATCTTTTGCCTCTGTGTTGAAGGAGAAAGTTCAGTGACCTTCGAGATCTACGGCATCCTAGTTAAAATCCCAGCATGTTCTGAAGGTGCCTCTCTCCACTGAGTACAGAACGAGCCTTGTCAGTGTCTGTGCTCTCACTTAGACACTTTTGTTCAGTGCCTAAAGTCAGGTGGGAAGAATTGAGGCCAGATAAGATTTTCAAGTTGTTCCCCCAGGAACTTCAGTAAAATCTTTAACTCTTGAATCTTCTGAAGGGCACAGTCTAGCTGAAATGTCAGCTTGGAACAGGGAGGCAGTTTCGTCTGCATCTTAAATAAATACTCTCAGGTATTTTGATACATATTCTTCCTATTTTTCTGCTATTTAATTATATGCCGGCGAAGTGTGATTTTTGCCCTCTGATTGACTGAAATTGTTAACCTCTACTTTCCCTTGAGCAAATTACATTTTTCTTCTGTTAGACCACTTGGCTGGGATTTATCTGAAGACTGTATGTACTGTACTCCACTGTAATATAGAAATATCTTTTTAAGCCAGTCTCCTTAGGCCCCTTCTATACTCATCGTAGAATCATAGAATAGTTTGGGTTGGAAGAGACCTTTAAAAGTCATCTCGTCCAACCCCCTGCAATAAGCAGGGACATCTTCAACTAGACCAGGTTGCTCAGAACCCCATCCTGGAATGTTTCCAGGGATGGGGCATCTACCACCTCTCTGGGCAGCCTGGGTCAGGATTTCACCACCCTCACCGTGAAACATTTTTTCCTTCTATCTAGTGTAAATCTCCCCTCTTTTAGTTTAAAACCGTTACCCCTTGTCCTATCGCTACAGGCCCTGATAAAAATTCTGTCCCCATCTTTCTTATCAACCCCTCTCAGCCCTGGCAGCTGCAGGAAGGTCTCCCCAGAGCCTCTCTGCTCCAGGCTGAACCCCCCCAGCTCTCCCAGCCTGTCCTCCCAGCAGAGCTGTTCCAGCCCTCGGAGCATTGCTGGGGCCTCCTCTGGCCCCGCTCCAACACGTCCATGTCTCTCCTGTGCCGAGGGCTCCAGAGATGGATGAAGCACTGCAGGGGGGTCTCCCCAGAGCGGGGCAGAGGGACAGAATCCCCTCCCTCGCCCTGCTGGCCTTCTGGGCTGTGAGCGCACATTGCCGGCTCACATCCAGCTTTTGTTCCATCAGTACCCCCAAGTCCGTCTCGGCAGGGCTGCTCTCCATCCCTTCATCCCCCAGCCTGTATTGATGCCAGGAGTTGCCCTTCACCCAGGTGCAGGACCCTACACTTGGCCTTGTTGAACCTCCTGAGGTTCACATGGGCCCATTCCTTGAGCTTGTCCAGGTCCCTCTGGATGCCATCCCATTCCTCAGACATGTCAACTGCAGAACTCAGCTTGGTGTAGTCGGGGGGAATCTTATAAATAGAGTCACTGGATCAATAGTGAGGTAGGTGCATCTTAGCTTAGAAGACACCTTAGAAGATGCACAACGCTGTGCTGTATCAGTGCCCATTTCCTTCTTCTGACTATAGAAGAAGTCCGTAGTGAATAGCTGAGATGCAGGGACTGAATTCAATTGACTACACATGGGTGTCTAATGCCAGCCGAGATGCCATAGGGTGTCCCTCTGACCTCTGGTCATATGTACTCCAGAGGAGTATGAATGTCTTGTAGATCCTGCATCATATGTGTCTCCAGTATCCCAGGGCATCTAAAACAGCGCTGGGTACCTGTGGTTAGGCTAGTGAACTGGGCCATAAACGTTTACATTGTGGACATCCTGGACTGTGATTCTGCTAAAGATTGGGATGCTTAAACCTCTATGGGTGCATGGGTGTCTGCCCTTTCAGAGGAGATCTAAGGTATTATTCTGTTGCCCACACGTGTTTTTAGTGGCATTCAAGATGCTTTGGAGTATCTGCCTGGCCTCCACATGTGGCTCCAAAAAGGTGCAGATCTCCCATGTGTCATGAGTCTCCTGTAGGTCTGGTGTCATATCTCCTCCCTGCACAGAAGCCCCAGGTATCTACATGTCTTTTAGCAGATAACAAATTTAAATTAAAAAAAACCAGACACTGCTGTATGTTAGTTAACCACAATAATGTCGAGAAGTAATATGATGCTATACTCTTGAGCTCCCTTTCATTATGTCTTCTTTGATGCTGGACCACTGTACTCGTCATAAAGGTTCTGGATGACTTGTCATTATTGTCCCCTAGGTTCGAGAGCTGGAGAATCAGTTGAGTCAAAACAAAACCAGAACATCGCTGAGTGAGATTGATGAGGAACTGCTGGCACTTACTGATCCAAGGAAGTTGTCAGCCCGAGAGAAAAACTTGTTGAAGATTCGCAGCTTGGAAAAAGAAAAGAAAGAAACCTTGGAGGTAAAAACCTGTGAGCTGATAGAGTCCTGTTTGGGTATATAGTGCGTAATAACTAGCCTTCCTTCAGGGTATATGTTACACCCTACCAGGAGGCCATTTCAGAAATCCACCTGATCTGCTGGAGGAAGTCCTGCCGCAGTTCACAGACATAGCAAAAAGCTTCCACGCTTGTTTTCTGTATCGCGCTCGTTTTCTGTATCGCGCTCTTGCGCCAGGCATACTTCTGTACTACAAGATTTGGTCTTCCCCTCTGCTGCATGATTCATCTGTTGGATTCATCCACTTGACCTGAAATGTGGCCACCTGACAACTGTGCATGATGTGTGTGACATCAGAAAGAGGAAGAGAGGCCCTGCGTTGCAATGCAGCTGGTACTGGCTTTATACTGAAGGTATATGTAGAAAAAAGCCCTGCTACAGCTGCATCCAAGCTCTGTAGCACCCCCCTCACCCTGTGGCCAGGTGTACATTCTTCATGCAATGTCAAATACAATCATACTCCTCACACCTTGTGTCTGTATGGCCATGGGCTTCTATGTTTGAACAGAATAAAGATGAGAATTACATCAGACACCCTCTTAAGAGGCATTCTGAAAATGGGTCTTACTCTCCATCTATCACATGTAGTTGCTACAAAAATAGTCATCCAGTGTTTAGGGGTTGAGAGAGGCTACCCCGAGGTGGGAAGGGTACGTAGGCCTGTGTCCAAAGGAAACATGGGTAGTGGGGGGTCAGCTACACATAGTCAGGTTAGCAAAGTACTTGTGTTCCTTCCCTGTATTCACTTCTGTAGAGGCCACCTGGCACCATCCCAGAGCTTGATTAGCTGCTGCTCTTCTTCCCGCAATTCATGCAACAGAATGAGCAATGGCGTGATACACACCTTTCATGCTCAGCCGTGAGAATGAAAGAGAAGATTTATAGCCACGGGCACACAGTGCAGGGAAGGCTTTCCTCAATAACTGTAATCTGTGTGGTTCCACTTGTGCATTTGCGTTTCAGGCTCCATTCACAATAAATGCCCCTGTACTTGTCCGTTACTACTTGACTGCTAGCATGCTCCCTGGCCAGCTGTCTTCCAAGGACAGCTTCTGGTACACAATGTAGCATCACTACCCTGCACCTGAAAGGAAGAGAGTTTCCCCATGGAAAATGATGAGGCAAATGAAAAAGAAGGGGCATACAGAATTAGGTTTTAACAAAAAATTATAATTTGCTTTCTGGCACATACTGAATCAACCTAGTCCATGTGTATTCCTGAGTAGATAGATCTTTTTTGATGCAGGCAAGCAGACAGTGAGTAGTAGCATTTATAATTTCTACTTACTTAGGGATGGTATGGTATGTCAGTTCCATTTTTTAGATTCTGCCAGGTGATGTGTGATTCCTTTAGCTGACCAAAGCACCTGGGGCTTGGTGATTGATAGGCTATAACTGTCATTTCCGATCATGTGTTTGCATCACTGCAGAAACTCACTGGGGAACATGATGCTCTCCAAAAAAGTCATGAGGAAGCGAAAAAAAAACTTGATGCATCAAAAGCCAGGAACAAAGTACTGTGCAGCGAAGTGAAAACCCTGAAGGGACAGATCATAACCTTGCTGGAGAAAGGAAAACACGACGATGAGCTCATAGACGCCTTACTGGTACAGTCTGACTATTACTGTTTGTCCCCGCCCCTGCAGATCAGCCCTGTTTCTATAAGTGATGGAACATGATGTCATTTAATGACACGATGACACAGACAACCTTAGGGTATATGGTGGCCTGATGAATCAAACTGTGACAGGCAGAGGTTTCATAGTCAGCTAAAGCCCTTCATTTTGGATCAGATCATGTAAAGACTGCAGGACAGCACCAGGCATGACACAGTTGCAGTCAAATGGCTCTAAGCTGCAAATGTGGTAAGAAACATTTTGCAGGATTGAAATAGATTTGTCTAGCAAGTAGAGGAAGGGCTTCATTCCTGACCCATGAAGCTGGACTGTATTCTCTGTTCTGCTTTCAGCTGCATTGGTAGATTTTTTTCCTGAGAATGTCTGTTATTTTGCACTTTAATTTATTGTGTTACACCACCCAAAAGACAGAATCACAGAATCACAGAATCACTGGGT